AACAATGGAGGGGCTAACAATGTTCAAGAGGAAGTGTACTCATTACCTCACTCATGTAACTGTAACCCTCTGTATAGTATCTTTACAATAAAAAAAAAAAAAGTAAAAAAAAAAAAATATATAATTTTAGAGGCTGGGAAGGTGGCTTAGTGGTAGAGTGCTTGCCTAGCATGTATGAAGCCCTGGGTTCAATTCCTCAGCACCACATAAACAGAAAATGTCAGAAATGGTGCTGTGGCACAAGTGGTCGAGTGCTAGCCTTGAGCAAAAGAAGCTCAGAGACAGTGCCCAGGCCCTGAGTGCAAGCCCCAGGACTGGCAAAATAAATAAATAAAATAAAAATATAACTTGATTGTTACAAGTGTTGTACAGGGCACTTGCCACTGCATAAGTAAGGTAATGAGGACATTTCTTTTTTGGGCAATGTCACCCCTTCCTTCGCTTTCCCCCAGTTTCCCCTTCCAACCCTGTCCACAAGTTCCATAGATCATTTTCCTATTTTGACATTTGAAATATTAAAAGAAGAAACACTTTCAACAGGGAAGTCTGTAGTTCCTCAGTGTGGATGAAACACCCTCCACGCTGCCTCATTTTGAAACCTGGCACTCCTTTGAGGAAGGTGTGGAGGAGAGAGATGGAAATCGAGGGGTGCCAGGCCCAGCTGGGGAGTCTCTTCCCCCAACCACTCCTCCCTCCTGCCCACGGGAGAGCTTCAGGTCACTCTGTTCTCAGGACCCCAGGAGCTGCAGCCAGAGCTCACGCACTGGAGGACACACATCACAGCCCTGAGCTGGCCCCAGGGCCCTGGGCGACCCCCGACCTGGGGGAGGCCTTGGGCCCTGGGCCCAGGACGGTCAGCAGGCAGTACCTGAGCTCCCTGAAGAACAAGCTGTCCAGCAGGACCTGGAGGAAGTCCTGCCAGCCTGCTGCGTGTCCTGGGCCTGGGACACAGGTGGGAACTGGGCCCTCTCCATCCACCTCTTCCCCAGCCTTCTCCCCAAGCCAGCGCCCCAGAGCCCTCACAGCGTCCTGTGTGGCCACACGGCTGCCAGAAGCTAAGCACGTCACTTCTGGTTTCTGGTGGTTCATTGGAGATAAGGTCTCACGGATTTTCCTGGCCGGGCTGGCTTTGAACCCCAATCCTCAGAGCTCAGCCTCCTGAGTAGCTAGGATTACAGATGTGAGCCACCAGTGACTGGCTCACTTGGGATTTGTTTTTTTTTTCCTGAACTTTCTGTTGCCCTCATCAGCCCTATCATTTCCCTCACCATGGGAACCTTTCAGAAGCCTCCAGAACTTATTCAAAGCTACATAGGTGGAGCCAGGCACTAGTGGCTCACATCTGTAATCCTAGCTACTCAGGAGGCTGAAATCTGAGGATTGGGGTTCAAAACCAGCCTGGGTAGGAAACCTGGGGGAGGGGTGGGAATCCCAGAGGGGTGTGGTTCAGGGGTGTCCAGAGCACCTCCCCTTCTCACCCCTGCAGGAGCCCGAGGAGAAGAGGATCGTCCAGGAGCTGCTGGAAACAGAGCAGGCCTATGTGGCACGTCTGCACCTGCTGGACCAGGCCAGTGGCAAGGACCCGCCCTCCCCCCACCCACCGCCTCCCAGCCCAGCCCCCAGTCTCCTGCCACCACTTGCTCTGCCGCCATGCTGCTACCGTGCCCAGGACCCCTGGGTTTGACTCTAGAGCCTCAGTCCATCATCCTGAAGGCTGGAGTTGGGGTGGGATGAGGCTTTAGCCCCTTGGGTGTCTTGAGCCTATCTAGCCTCAGCTATGGGCACAAGAACAGGCCTTTGGACTTTGTATAGCCTCACCTCCCTGACCCAGACCCCTCATCTGAGGAGGGGATACAGCATTAACCTTCAGCTGTAGGCCCTTCAGCTTGGGGAAGTTTAAAAGCTCAGTAGAGCTGGGCGCTGGTGGCTCACAACTATAATCCTAGCTACTCAGGGGGCTGAGATTTGAAGATCGCAGTTCAAAGCCAGCCTAGGCCCATGAGACTCCTATCTCTAATTAACCATTCCCAAACCAGAAGTGGAGCTGTGGTGCAAAGTGGTAGAGAGCTAGCCTTGAGCAAAAAGAGGCCAGGCCCTGAGTTCAAGCCCCATGATAGACCACAACAACCACAAATTCAACACACCCAGGACGGGCCACATCTGACCCAGCTCAGCTGCCAGCCTTTGGCCAAGTCCCTGTATCTCGGAGCCTGGCTTGTTACCTGAGCCCCATCTTCCTGGGCCCCATCTCTCCCTGGGGTTGCAAGGATGCGGGGGATGGGGGAGGCCGCACTGCCCCTGAGCTGTGCTGTCTCCCGCGCTGGTGTGTGACCTGGGCTGGTGGCCACAGGTATTCTTCCAGGAGCTCCTGAGGGAGGCGCGCAGCAGCAAGGCCTTCCCGGAGGACGTGGTCAGGCTGGTGTTCTCCAACATCTCCTCCATCCACCAGTTCCACGCCCAGTTCTTCCTCCCAGAGCTGCAGCGGCGCCTGGACAACTGGTGAGTCCTGTCCTGGCTGAGGGTGGGGGAGGGGCATCCCGGGGGCTGGGGGTCACCTGATGGCCCAGACCTTGGCTGGGTGCGGGTGCGTGACCATCATGGGGACCCTAGGCCCCAGGGGAACTACGGCTGAGTGCCTGGAGAATGTTTGATCCCAAAGGAAGACCCTGGGGAGGTTGTGTGATTCGAGGCTCTGCAGTAATCCTGGGGCGCCCTGTGTACCTATCTTACCCCCCCCCAGCCTGCTATCTTCCTCTTAGAAGCAGCCTTTGGATTGGTTCCCAGAATTTTCTTATGCTAACCCTCCCCTCTGCCCTCCCCCCCGCCCCCGGGACATTCAGACCCTATGAAAGTGTAGAGGGGGAAAAGCATCTTCAGTTTAATCATGTTAAACTCATTCCTCACTCCATGGTGGTATCAGAATATTATTTCAGGGGGAGGGGGAGGCATGGAGTTTGAAATCAGAGCATGTGTCGGTCATGGGGCTTGAACTCAGAGCCTGGGCACTGTCCCTGAGCTCTTTTACAAAGGTCACAGCGCTCTACCACTTTGAGACACAGCGCCACTTCTGATTTTCTGGTGGTTCATTGAAGATAAGAGTCTCATGGACATTCCTGCCTGGGCTGTCTTAAGAACTGTGATGCTCAGATCTCAGCCTTCTGAGTAGCGAGGATGACAGGCGGGAGCCACCGGCATCTGGCTTGGCCATTTCTTCTGGTATCTGCTGGATGGGACCTGCGGCTAGGACAAGCTCCTCCTCTGAGATGGATCTCTAGGGGTTTTCGAGGACAGGAGACCATAGACAGACAGACAGACAGAGACACAGGCAGAGAGACAGAAGCGGCTCAGGAGACGAGGCAGCCAGGTTCACAGACAGAGACACAGGCAGAGAGACAGAAGCGGTTCAGGAGACGAGGCAGCCAGGTTCTTGTGCAATTTTTTTTTTTTGCTTATGTGGTGCTGAGGAATGGAACCCAGGGCCTCAGGCATGCAAGGCAAGCGCTCTACCACTGAGCCACCTTCCCAGCCCAGATCTCAGCCTTCTGAGTAGCTAGGATTACAGGTGTGAGCTACTGGCACCAGGCTTGAAAACTTTTCATAATTACTTTTAAAAAGGAAAGAACCTTTTACCGTCATCCCCATTTTTTCAAAGTAGAAAATTGGTGTGCATACATGCTTGCGATCCCAGCATTTATGGTACTAAAGCGGAAAGATCACCAGTTAAAGGCCAGCTACAGAGTGTGACTCTGTAAAAGAATGAATGAATGAGCTGGGAATGTGGCTCAGTGGTAGAGCGCTTGCCTAGCATGCATGAAGCCCTGGGTTCCATTCCTCAGCACCACATACACAGAAAAAGCAGGAAGTAGTGCTGTGGCTCAAGTGGTAAAGCACTGGCCTTGAGCAAAAGAAGCTCAGGGACAGAGCCCAGGCTCTGCGTTTAAGCCCCAGGACTGGCAAAAAAAAAAAAGAAAAGAAAAGAAAAAGAAAAAGAAAAATGAAGCCAGGTACTGGTGGCTCACATCTATAATCCCAGCTACTCAGCAGGCTGAGATTTGAGGATCATGGTTCAAAACCAGCCTGGGCAAGGAAAGTCCTTGATACTCTTATCTCCAATTAACCACTAGAAAACCAGAAATGGTGCTCTGGCTCAAGTGGTAGAGCACTAGCCTTGATCTGAAGAACTCAGGGGTAGTACCCAGGCCTGAAGTTCAAGCCCCACGACCAACAACAACAACGGATGAGTAAATAAATGAGTAAATGAATGAATAAACAAACAAATGAGTCCAGAGAGGCTGAGTGGCTTGGCAGAGGACACACAGCTCAGGTACCTGGTTTGGCTGAGAATAAGGCTCGAGCAGGTCAGCTCCGGCCCTGGGCCTAAAACCTTTGTGCTGGGCAGGTGGCTCTGGTGACTGCCACAAAATCCCACATCAGGTTGTCACCAGCCCCAGCAGGGCAGTTCCCCGTGGGGGAGGCAGGCAGTGGATGGAGCAGCAGAGCAGCACCCAGGGCTGGTGGTCTGAGGGTGGACACCCCCCGCGCCTGCTCCCATGGTGCACTGGAAAGGCGGGGGGGGGGGACTGGTCTCGCCTGGGGTCCCAGGGGAGGGGCTCATCCTGGCTGTCCTGTGCAGGTCGGCCATGCCCCGCATCGGGGACGTGATCCAGAAACTGGCCCCGTTCCTGAAGATGTACAGTGAGTACGTGAAGAACTTCGGGCGGGCCGCAGAGCTGCTGGCCACCTGGACGGACAAATGCCCACCCTTCCAGGAGGTGATTGCCCGCATCCAGGTGAGGCCCTGGGGGGTGGCAGAGCCCCAGTGTATGCTGCCTCAGTTTCCCCAAGCCAGCTGGGGCATCTTCCGAGTGCCCACCCTTCACCCCGCCCCCTGTCCCTCCCCCTGGTCCCCCCTCCCCCGGCCCCCAGAGCAGCGAGGCCTCGAGCAGTCTGACGCTGCAGCACCACATGCTGGAGCCCGTGCAGAGGATTCCCCGCTACGAGCTGCTGCTCAAGGAATACGTCCAGAAGCTTCCAGCCCAGGCCCCAGACCAGGCCGATGCCCAGAGTGAGAATGCCCTTGGTGGGGGAGGGGAGGGGAGTTGCTTAGGAAGCTGAGCCACACCATGATTTAATTTATCACCTCTAGGGGCTGGGAAGGTGGCTCAGTGGTACAGTGCTTGCCTCGCATGCATGGGGCCCTGGGTTCGATTCCCTCTGTACCACATACACAGAACAAGCCAGAAGTGGCGCTGTGTCTCAAGTGGTAGAGCACTAGCCTTGAGCCAAAGAAGCTCAGGGACAGTGCCCAGGCCCTAAGTTCAAGCCCCAGGACTGACAAAAATTAAAAGCCAGGCACCAGTGGCTCACACCTGTAATCCTAGCTACTCAGGAGGCTGAGATCTGAGGATTGAGGTTCAAAGCCAGCCCAGGAAGGAAAGTCGATGAGACTTTTATCTCCAACTAACCACCAGAAAACCAGAAGTGGCTGTGGCTCAAGTGGTACAGCACTCACCTTGAGCTGAAGAGCTGAGGGACAGCGCCCTGGCCCCAGGACCAATACAAAATTAAAAAACAAAATAATTTACCACCTCCCCAAATGGCTGTGACGGCCGGCGGCCATTCCTGCCCCTGGCTAGTGCGCCCAAGAGCTCAGGCAGCGGCTCCGTCACCCAGCCCGGGAGCAGCAGACCCGGGATTTGAACCCCCGGGGGGAGCAGCGAGCGTCTGTGAAGCCACGTGCCTAGGGGCGGTGGCAGCAGGCCTGAGGCCGCCTGCCATGTCCCTGCGTCCCCTCGCCTAACTCTGGCCCTGCCCGCTTGCCAGAAGCCCTGGACCTGATCTTCTCGGCCGCCCAGCACTCGAACGCGGCCATCACGGAGATGGTGAGCGGCGCCTTCCTGGCCCCGGGGGCCACACGGCCGCCCTCCGTCACCCTGCCCGGGCTGGGCCATGCTGAGGCTGTCCCTCCCCAGGAGCGGCTGCAGGACCTGTGGGACGTGTACCAGCGCCTGGGCCTCGAGGCCAACCTCGTGGACCCCTCCAACACGCTGCTCCGAGAGGGCCCCGTCCTCAAGATCTCCTCCCGCCGCAGCGACCCCATGGAGCGCTACCTCTTCCTGGTAGGGGCTGGCCGGGCCTCTGTGGGGGGACAGGAGGGAACTACCTCTTGCTCCTTTGCTTGGACCACTTTGGGAGCGGCCTCCGGGATCGGGGACTGGCCCATGCCCCCTCCCTGGTTCCCTTCAGCTCCAAAGCCTGTGTGGGGTTAAATCTGTGCTTCAGAGCACGCACAGCAGGAGGGAATCAGGTCAGCTATCAGGAAGAACTGCCCAGGTTGATCCTGAAGAAGCCAGGGGTCTTCCTGAGATTGGCAAGGCCGTCCTGCCTGGAGGTCTACACCTCTGACGTGGCTGTGTGCTTTTTCTGAGGTCCACTTTGGTCCTTGGATGCCCGTAGGCGGGGTGACCCTTCAGCGCCCCTCTTATCAGGGGTGAGGGCTAGGCAGCCTCTTCCCGCCTCTTTCCCACCACCTGGGAAGCCCTGAAAGAAAAGTTCAGAATATGGGCAGAGAAGAAGGTGATGGTGGTGACCAGCCCCAGCCCAGACCTGGAGCCTCCAACCACCATCCCGGCTGCCACTGCTCCGCGCTCACGCCTGTGTCCCCTGCAGTTCAACAACATGCTGCTCTACTGTGTGCCCAGGGTCATCCAAGTGGGCGCACACTTCCAGGTGCGGACCCGCATCGACGTGGCTGGCATGAAGGTAAGGTCTGGCAGGGCTCCCCACACCCACCCCGGGGGAGAGGAGGTGGAAGCGGGTTCTCTGTGGGAGAGCCGGGCAATGGTGATGGAAAGGCCCCGGGCCACTCTGCCGTGCTCTGTGGGAGACAGAGGGCCCCGCACGGTGCTCCATAGGCCGTGCTGTGCTCCAGCCCGGGATCTGGTCGAGGCAGGTTTGACCTGCCGGTCTCGATGGAGCCAAGAGCTGCCTTTGAGTTTCCTTTGCTGTGTTAGGGCCTCACGCGTACCAGGCCAGTGCTCTACCACCTGAGCCACGCTCCCCAGCTCTGGCTTTTGGCTGTGCTCATTCGAAAATGAGAGCCTTACAGATTCATCTGCCCTGGCTGACACTGTACCTTAATTCTTAGCTCTCAGCCTCCTGAGTAGCTAAGACTACAGGTGTGAGCCACCAGAATGAGACTGTATGGCCCAGGCTGGCCTGGAACTCAAGATCCTCTTTTTTTTTTTTTTGCCAGTCTTGGGGCTTGAACTCAGTGGTTGATTGAGAATAAAGAGTCCCACAGACTTTCTTGCCCAGACTGGCTCTGAGCTGTGATCCTCAGCTCTCAGCCTCCTGAGTTGCTAGGATGACAGGCATGAGCCACCAGTACCTGGTTTTGAGATTCTCTTGCTGAAGCCTCCTGAGATCTGGGATTACACGCATGCCCAGCCACGCTGGTTACCCCCATTCTCCATGTGAGGCCCTTGGCTGTGGGTCTTCACACTCGGATGATTTGTGGTGTGAATGAAGGTGTGCTTTGCTTTTGTGGTTTGTTTTTTTTTTTTGTCAGTCATGGGCCTGATCTCTGGGCCTGGGCACTGTCCCTCAGCTCTTCAGCTCAAAGCTAGCACTCTACCACTTGAGCCACAGCACCACTTCCGGTTTTTCTGCTTATGTGGTGCTTAGGAATTGAACCCAGGGCCTCATGCATGCAAGGCAAGCGCTCTACCACTGAGCCACCTTCCCAGCCCCTGTGCTTTTGCTTTTTAACACCCATCCTGGAGCTGTTCCGCTGGGTACAGCACGACCTAGCACACTGTGGGGGGCTGCGACGCTGGGGGCCACACACAGGCTGTGCTCAGCCCACCCATCTGCCATCGCTCTGTCTTGCCTGTCTGTCATCTATACATTTCATCTATCCGGGTATCGTCAGACCAAGGCAGGGCGGAGATGGAGGCCTAGATCAGGCAGAGAGGGACAGATGTAGAGAAAGGAAGCCCCAGAGCGGGTCTCTCCTCAGCCAGCGGTCACCCAGCGCCCTCTTCTGGACAGCGCAGACATGACAGAGCTGGTGTCTGTGTAGCCATTCCTGCTGGGCAAGTCTGGGGACTTGTCTTAGCCTAAGGGACAACAGCCTGTTGTGGGAATCTTTCTGTTGCCTTTTAAGTGCTGAGTGACCTCCAACCGCTCTCTAGCCTTCTGTGAGGCTCCCCGGCCTCCTTCCCCTAAAGATGTTCCCATCTGCCTTTCGCTCTTTTATGTTGTTGTTTGTTTTAGAGACAGTTTTTTTTTTTTTTTTTTG